GGGTTGGGATGGAGACCAAGGGAGGAAGATTACCTCTAGATAGGGAATAGGGGTGGGAGGGAGGATGGGAATAGCAAGGATAGTTCAAGAAGTTGGTCATCATTATACAAAATTCATGTATGAAGATGTGAATTTGGTGTCAACATACCTTATATACAAACAGAGATTTGATAAATTGTGGTATAAAGGTGTATTAAGAATTGCAATGCAAAAAAAAATTATGAATGTAATGCACTCCTCTATTGTGATGTATGTAAGAAATAATAATAATAAAAAAACAAACAAAGTTGTTCTTAACCAGTAAATCAAACTATAGTGACTGATTATAATCAACAACTAAATTGTGCTTTTCATGGTAAACTGGAATGGGGGCCAAATCATAGTCCTCAACAATTTATTTATTTATTTCATTTTGATATTAGTTTGTCTGTCTTGAAGTCACTGTGGAGATGATAATCTTAGTATTTTAGATCAGGAATGAATAAATTCTTAACAAATACACAATCCTGCTGAACTAGCAATATCATTGCTATCATTTTTTAATGAACTGTCAACTGCAAAATTTAGCAGGTAACATTCTACAGAACAATAAGTAGCAAGCACAACGAAGTAGATTAAACAATGCATATTTAAAGTGTGAAGTACTACAAATCTAAGTGACTTGGCTAACTTAGTAAATTTAAAATGGCAATGATGAGACTACAAATTTTTACAGAAAAATATGCTACTAGAATTAGGTATAAACAGACCTAAAATGAATTTTGAGATCTCAAACATATAAAACATTTACTAGCCATTAATTAATATTTTTTATCACGCTACAATAAATTAAACAGAACTTCTGTGAATATTGACAAAACCAAAACAACACAAGATATGTTATTATAAATACACATAGAAATAACCTACTAACAATCCTTTTTATTAAAAGTCCTTGATTAAAATGAACGTTTTCTCTCATATGTAGAAGCTAGATCAAAATAAGAGAAAGGAAGAAAAGGGGAAAGGGGATCTCATGAATTTAGCAGCAAGGTCAGTAGACTAGAGGAAGGGAATGAGGGATGGGAGGAGGGACAGGGAAAGGAACATGAGTCTGCTCAAACTTTCCTATGTACAAATATGAATATACTACAGTGAACTTCACCTTTAATGTATATCCATAGTGCACTAATTTAAAAAGGTATAAATTATAGAAGGAAGATGAGTAGAGGAAAGGAAATGGGGAAGGGAAGAGGTCAGGTAAAAGAGAAGTACATGGAACTAAACTGGGGAAATTATATTCCATGCTTATTTAGTTATGTCAAAATGACCCCCGTTGTTATGCATAACTAAAATGAACTAATAAAAAATAAATGCCCTTGAGAAATATGCCCATCTGTTAAAAAAGTAGAAATTCTCCAAAACTAGAAATTAGCGGCACATGAAAATATAAAATAAAGAAGCCATTTTATTAGTAGGAAATATTAAGAAGGCTATGAAGTAAACTATTAAATTAATTATTAAATGATAATAATAAATACGAAGCTTGGCTATCTATCTCACCTCAAATTTGGAAGACTGTGTTAGTATTTTCTTATAATTAACTGAATTTCATAGATAATAATGTACCAATTAAATTGTGATATCAAAAATTTCAAACATCAAATATACTACCAAATCTTAAAAATTCTTTCTAGTATTTTGTTTTCTATACTTTCAGCACATTAAGAAGTGGGTTCATTTATCTCACTGTGTCACCACTCTCATTCCCTGAACTAAAATTTCTAGAAAATAAAGTGTTACATTGCTTAATGAATTGAAAATCATGCAAGAGATTTCCATCTGCTCTTGGTTTTAGGCTATAGGTTAACTGTCAATATTTTTACTGTCAACTTAAATTTCTCTCAGTACATATACTTATTAGTTCCTCAGCAGTGTAAAAATCATTATTTGAAACAGTTACAATTTTAGCTTGTCCACTGGGAAAACGGCATCCTAAAGATATTTACTTACCACCATTATGATAAAAAGTTGGTATATTCAATTTTAAAATGAGCATCAATTTGACAGAAAAACCAAAGAACCTAAGACTTGATAGAATTAATTCATCAGATATTTCACCTAAACATTATTATTAAAAACTTTCCTTACATACTTATATAGTAAAATTACAATACTCAGTTTTCCATGAATGTTTCATAACTGTTCAATTGTTCTTTTCCAAAGGTTAAATATATTCCTTCTTCAGGAGGGAAAGAGAAGAGAAAAACATGAATTTTAATCTGAGTTTTTTAATAATTTTTTTGCATAACCCAATAATTGGACACTACAGCAAACTCTTTTATCAAAACACACCAGAGAGGAAGTGTTTCATTGAATGAAAAATGTCATGCATGAATCCAGGTATTCACAGACTTGTCCTAAATAGAATTGTTTGAATTTTGAAGTAAGAATTATGAGAGCAATCACAAAGATCATAAAGCTTCTTGACAAATAATTCCTGTGAAAGGAATGAGTTTTGAGTGTGTATTTTCCATTCTGTTCCTTTCTCTCTCAACATATTAATAGGCTTAACTAATCTAATGCTCCTTGAGAAAATGCAAACACTCCAGAGGTAAAAGAGCTGTCACTATATCAACCAGCTAGCAATTACAGGCAGATGATCAGTTCCTACCAGCCAAGCTTTTGAGTTTACCAGAAATTACATTGTTCTTAAATATATTTGCATTCATATTTTCTCCTACAAATGCTTACTGAACATAATAAGATGAAAAAAAAAAAGTGATTTGTGCTACCAGAGAGGCTTGATAAAGAGCTGAGCCAGAATGATAAGAAAGCAAGCAAAATAATGTTTGGAGGAGAAAGAAAAATGGTTCTGAGGGAAAAGAATTTTTCTCTGTCTGATCTTTCCTCCTATTTTTTCCTTTCTTTATCTCTCTTTTAGTCAAAGGTCAAGTGTCTTCTCTGATATGAAGAAGCTAATTCAAAATAAAGGGAGGGAGATTAAAAAGAAAAGAAAAAATGAGTCAATGGAACAAAAGTGGGGAGAAGGAATATTATTAAACAGTTATTTAAAGAATTATTTTGACTATCAGTATTTTGTTTGATTGAGGCAGATAGTTATAAATAAAAGATTTAAATTTTTAAATCAAAAGAC